TATTAAATACATCTACTCATTTAATGGCACGTAAAAATTGTATTAAAAGTGGGGTAAAAAATTATCCTTATAGCACCACCCAATTGTTATAATAGCAGTGACAAGGGAAGAGCCAGCTCAAAAACATGTCAGTTGTTATGCCAGCGACCATGCGTATTTGGTATCACTAGTATATTTTTGTTTTCTTTTCAGGTTTTTCAAGAGGAAATTAAAGCGGTACAATTGATTATATGATTAGAGAATGTTGGGCGTCGAGTATCGTAGTAATTCAAGTTTGAATTTATATGGGTTGGAGTTAATTGATAGACTTGGATTATAGGGTACAAATGCAAATTATTGACTTCATCATCTTTTCTTTTCTTTTATTGGTACCTTGTCCTTATCATAGTTAGTTCTTCCGATGGTAGTAGTAATGATGTATAACTAATAATGTGGTCCATGAATAAATATTATGTGGTCTTTTCTTGTGGCATATCTTATAGTGGTACCGGGGAATAAAGACAATGTCTTTCTATTCTGACCATACAAGAAGCCTTTCTTTTTGTTCATCCCCAAGAAACCTAAATTCTAATATCAAAATCCCTTATCTTTTGCTGGTTTTTTGGGATTCCTTAGTTATTTCCTTTTTTAAATATGAGGTCCCATACATAGCGTCGGCCCCTTTTTTTCTTCTTACTTAATTATCATTATTTGGCCAGCCTTGTTAGTTCTATATTCAAAGTGTGTGTACTAGTGTCATCAAGTTACAAAATTCCTTTATTCCCTTTTGTTCGGATACAAGTGCACTTATTATGATAATTTTGAAATGAGAAACAATGTGGTAGCTAATGGATGGTAAGTAACCTTCAATTTGATGATGATGATTAGAGTGATGATGAAGCTGATGAGGTAAATCCCTCCTTTTGACTACACTTCAAAAGGATTCACGTTTAAGTAATATATATACCCGTGAAGGAGACATCAAATCTTTTGATTAATGATTAATGATTAATTTGTTAATGAGTAGTTACATCATTGATAATGAATTCTTATTTCTGATTTATAATAGTTGGATTAATTAATTATTGTGGGTCAAGTATGATTTCTAATTATATTATGGTCGTTCTTATTACAAATTCAACTACTAATACAGGTACCATCTCTATTATTATTTTATAAATTAAGCATCAGATTCGGAGACATAAAATACTAGGAGACATCTAGAAGAGAACAAGAATATGTGGTCCAACAAGTGGAAACAAGTTCAGAATTGTAGTTGCTTATTTTCTCAACTCTTCATCTAGAGATTTTTTTCCTCCTTTTCTTACTTTATTCATTGAATGATAAATTTTGAGGGGATCAAGAATCAGAAACACGTAGGTCCCTTATAATGTGCATAATGTGATAGAAATAGAAGCAAAGCTAATTTTTCTTAAAACCAGGCAGCTGATGATCCTAGTAGGTCCTTATGTCTCATAGGGTAACCAGATCAAAAGTTTATGACGCTCAGAGCATCTCAATTATTTTCTTGCTGATGTTATATCATACACAATTTTCTTACAAAGTAAAAAGAAAAGATTATGTCTCATTCCTTCGTCTCCATAATGGATCCTGTCTCGAGACTATTATTATATATGAATTTTGATTATCTTAACCAGCCTGATAATATTAGAAATAGAAATGGTTAACTTCTAGGCAGTTGATTACTCGTTTATTATATACTTAATTCAAGTCTTCTATGTTTCTGCAGGTTCTATGCATCGGAGGTTGTGGTAGCTTTAGAGTACCTTCACATGCTGGGTATTGTTTACCGTGATCTAAAGCCCGAAAACGTGCTTGTAAGATCAGACGGTCACATTATGCTTACGGATTTTGACCTCTCGCTAAAATGCGATGATTCCATGTCAACACCCCAGATAATTTCTGATCGGAATCCACTAGTTGCGCCTTCACAGAGTGACTACCTAGTCGATCAACCTCGGTTCGCCTCCTCCTCGTGCATTCTTCCAAATTGCATAGTCCCCGCCGTGTCATGCTTCCACCCAAAACGCAAACGCAAGAAGAAGACAGGCCACCGTGGTGGGCCAGAGTTCGTGGCTGAGCCTATTGATGTCCGATCTATGTCATTTGTTGGGACCCATGAGTACCTGGCGCCGGAGATTGTGTCCGGGGAAGGTCACGGTAGCCCTGTTGATTGGTGGACATTAGGGATATTTATGTTCGAACTGTTTTATGGGTTTACACCCTTCAAGGGACTTGATCATGAGCTAACCTTAGCCAATATTGTGGCTCGAGCCCTCGAATTCCCCAAGGAACCCACAATTCCTGCCGCAGCTAAGGACTTGATCTCTCAACTCCTTGTTAAGGATCCGGCAAGGCGACTAGGGTCCACAATGGGCGCATCAGCCATCAGGCATCACCCTTTTTTCCATGGTGTCAATTGGGCATTGTTGAGATGCACACCCCCACCATATGTTCCTCCACCATTTAGTAGAGAAGCCGTCTCAGATGAAAGTTGTCCTGAAACTCCTGTGGAATATTATTAGTCAAGTGATGAAGTGAACCCAAAAAAAAAAAAAAGTAAATAAAAAAAATCTCACGGCTTCATATTATCAATTTTGTTAAATTTACGCTTATTTGCTTTTACTGCCTGTAAATAACAATTAAGCGTGAATTTAACAACTTTTCTATTACTATATATATATATATATATTATTACCTTGAACATAATTTGTCAAAAAATGTGCTACATAATTGTCGGCTACAGGGGGCAAAGGATTGAATTCGGAAAACGGTATACGGTATATGGTAGATAGTGTCTGTCTGCTAGCCTATTAGTTCTTGCAATTTGACTTGTGCACTTTATTTTTTGGTTGGGGGTGGTAATATCTTAATGTCTAGCTGGATGGGAGCATATGATCCGACAATGCATATGCAAGCAAATGATGTTGACTCGGGGGCGGTAAAGGCGGAGGAGGCAGGGTGCGATAGGCTAGTTAGGTTGGTCGCTGACAGCGGGCGGGGGCCGGGGATGGCCATGGGAAATGGAATTGCTGCTTGTTTGTGTGTGTTTGGTTTGTGAAGAGCATGCCCCCACCCATGTGCAGGTGATTAGTCTCCAAGGGGTTGTGTGGGGTTGGGGATGAAGTTTCTTGAGAGGAAGTCATGTTAGGATCACATGCCTTCATTAATCCTGCATTATGATGCCATTAAAAGGTGTGATCTTGCTTTCTTCCTGTTCTCATGGGGCATGTCAATTTTAGGAATTTGGAAGTTTTGATTACTTTCTATCAATTATCAAAGTGTTGATTGTTGAGTGTTGTTATGAACCTTGTCTTTTCAATCCCCCCCCCCCCCCCCCGCTTTTTTTTTGGTTTATATAAATTTTATGGACCGTGTTTTTGCTTTTACATGAGGTACATAATAGTATATAATTGTATAAATGATTGAAGTACAAAATAAAATTCAGAAAAACTTTGAAGAAAATTTGTAATTTTTGAAAATTGAATCTACAAGCTTAATATTGCCGGGTCTTCCTTCTTGTTGGTGACTGCTCAGCAACCTCAAAATTATAATTATGTATACTTATTCCATTTGCAGTTTAAAAATATGTACTTAATTGCACCTGACCCTTGCGGCCTAGTGGCAATAGTCACCCCGGTGCATTCCCCCATTCCCGGGCTGAGTTCGAAACCCACCCCTTGCAAATATGTTCAAAAAAAAATATATGTACTTAATTTTTTAAGTTATAATAATTTTTTTAACCCTGGACCACCTTCGATTTGAAAAATATGCATTTTACTCAAAATGTTTTTGAAATTATTGGAAACTTGAGTGCACACTTTCAAACTAAAGTTTAATTATAATTTTTTTTTTCATATATAATTTACGAGTTAAACACACTATTTTTTCATGTGACTTAAGTGGTTATGTTTTTAAGTGTGAGAAGTAAAGTAAAGCATAGTACATAATTATCAGGTCAACTTTTCAACCGGTACTCGAACAGATACTAATTTACTAATAATTTTTTTTATAGTAAAAAAAAAAAATTGCAATTTGCAAGGAAGAAAAAGTGCAATGTGCCCTAAATAGTGAAAAGCAATCGCACAGCACAATTTTTTGTTTGGATCCAAACCGTCGAAAATTGCTGTTCTTCCCAATTGGCAGCCCATATTTGAGTTGAGCCCAGTTTTAAACTGAACAAATAGTTGCTGTGATTTGTCACCCATAGCTAATAGACAGAGAAAGAAGTATTTTTTCTTTGAACGGCAAAAGTAACATTTATTATTAAAAAAAATGGAGTACAAGGTACCCAAACCCATTAACATCACATCTCAATTTGAAAAGCATAAATTACATGAGTCAATTACAGAGAAAGAAGTATTTATCAGTTGTAATTTTAGAAAATTGTGAAGAAAAATAATTTGAAACTACATTATTTAATAAACTTTCATTAAAAAAAAAAAGATTATAACAATATATTTTTGAAGTATGAATGAAAGAGTTTTAATATTTTTTATGATAATTTATTGAAATTATATAATTTTAAGATGTTTTCTAATTATAAGTTTGACAAATAAATACTAATCTTAACTTGTTTACTTAATGGTAGAAACAAGTGAAGCAAGGAGGAGAATATATGGACTATGAACTGAGTCCGCTATATCCTTTTATTTTTATGTTAGTGTTGAAAGTTAGATAATTTGGATGTGTCCACATTTATATCCTCTAGTAGCATATGTTTAATTTGAAAGGAGGGGGGAGAAAAAAAAAAAAGAAAAAAAAGGAGGTGGGTGGATTTTTTAACTAATTAAATTATAATATTTTTAAATATTTTAATTTAATTGATCAAAAAATTTATTCCCTTTTTTTTTTAAATTAAATATATTATAAAAAATGTTTTAGTGGTTAAAAATATTTAATGTATTAAAAAAATATAAATAAAAAAATAGAGGGATAAAATGTCACTACTCTTATATTTTTTAAAAAAAATTAAAAAAAAATTTTATTAAAAAAGGCTAACGGGTTGAAAAAAGAGATAAATTTTTTTTTTGTTTTTCTGTAAATATTTATTAAAAACGTAAATAAAAAATCAAAACATCCCAATTTCCTTTTCGAGTAGGGAAAAGGACTTTCCCTCCCCTTTCGCTGTCTCGTGTCTCTCCATTCCTTTCTCTCTCACGCTGTTCCAGAATTCACCGTCGGTGAAAGGGCCGGACGCCGCCAGACCGCCGCTTCAATGCTGGGCCAAGAAATTTTGATAACAAGGTGTGTAAAGTGCTATTTTGTCTTTACGCTTTTTCGTCCAATCCAGCGACGTAGTGCGTTGGGTTGACGCTTCAGGCCCCGTTCGGCGCTCTCTTTGCGGCGATTGGTGCCTAGAGGACTGTTGCGCTTTGGATCGATGCTTCACGCTTCGGTTGGCGCTTGTACGGCGGCGACTGGTGTCTGGGTTCCCGGAGGACAAATCCGTCTCCTGGGCCTATCGGCTCGACATTTCGGGCTCATATCAGTCCTCCCATGGTGATGACTGTTCCTGAAAGATAGATCTGGCGTCATTCAGCGTCAGATCTGACACTAACAGAGAACTGAAACGGTACTATGTTTCCTTTTGTTTTGTAGAAGCATTCTGCGTTGGATGGCGCCAACCGGTGTTCCTACGTGCCAATGCTGGCGGTGGCCATACTGCCCTACCTTGGATCCGCCTCGGTAGTTGTGAATTTCCGAGCTAGGGCTTGCACTCTGAGGTCAAACCACGAATTAGGGTTTTTTGAAGGTTCAGACATTATTGGCGTACCTCATACATAGGTAATTCAGGAATCCTTATATTTCTGTGGTATTAATAAGAGATTTGCTTTGCTTATATGCCTTTGCGTTGTTTTTTTCGTTTGTTGAAGCTGTTGGGTGGGATCTAGGTAGTGTTGCTAAGATTTCATGCTTTCCTTTCCCAGGACGGACTTTTTTACTTGATTTATCTGTGAGTGAAGTCATTTTCCATGAACTCTGGTCCTTGTACAGGCTTATTTCTATTTGTAGAGTATTAGTTCTTAAGAGATATATTCTACAAAATTTCCACAAATTGTCACTCTATGTTTAAAACATTCTGGAAAATTGATCTTGCCATCAGTGTTTGAAGAGGTGTGACACAAGTGGAAAGGCACACTACCTCCAACCTGCACCTTAAGCACAGTAGGTGAGGTAGTATTGCAAAGGTGCTTCTTTTTTGTGCCTTGCTGGTGGGTGAAAGTAATGCCCTCGGTGTGTCTTTGTTTTTCTTTATATTTATGTCTACTTTTTACGTTGGATTTGATAATAAACCTGTGATTAGAGGTACAAAGAAGTTGTGGTGGACCTGCCACAGTGGCAATGGTCAGCTTGAAGAATTAAAGAACAAAATAGAAAAAGAAGCTAAAAAACCTGAGGCTGCAATTAGATTCAGATTGAATTCTCTCTGGCATCAGGCACCTAAAATGGCTATGTACTCTTCTTCTGATTTTATGGACCTTAAACCTTTCTAATCTAAAGTTTAAATAGTCTCATTTGATAGGCTGACTGAAGTGACTAGTTTTTCGAAGTACATTTTAATTAAAATTTTTTATTTTGCTCCGGGACCTTATGCTTGTTTATGATGTCTTGTGTTAAGTTATACTCTATTTATATGTATGGTGACCTGTCTATGTTAATTTTCTTGGAGCTTTGATATAATATCCTCTTTATATATCTATTTGTTACTTTCTAGTTTGCACGCTTATTTTTTTTTCCCTATAATTTTATGCCTTGTGTTAGTGTGCACCTCTGAGTTGGTCTTGAGCCTGGGCTTCAAAACCCTTAGCATCTAGTTGTGCCTTGCTATTTTTAGTTCACTGCTTCCTGTCAAGATGAAATGCTTGCTCAAGCAAGTTTTCTTCATAACTTCATCCTAAGGCTTAATTGATAATTTTCCTGAAATTAAATGGGGAGATAAAATAGCTTTTTACTTTTTATGGGATTATTGGAGTGTGGCTTTAAGTTTGTGGGTGCCTATGTCTGATGTATGTCGATGGATTTTGCCATATGTAAAATTTTCATGCTTAAATGTTGGAATGGCTGTCTTTTTATTTTTATAGCTAAGTCTCTTTTTCGTCAGCTCTGTTTGGTGTTGTTAAATTGTGAATTGCTTCTACTTATTTTAGTAGTTAGAATATTTATAGCCACTTTAACCATACTATCTCTTTCATTCTATTGAACTTTCTGTTTCAACTTGGCATCGTCTTTCCTTTCCAGTATTAAAAACGCCTACAATGAATATAACAAAGGTTTCACCATGGTTAAACCACACAATAGCAGACAATATTTGCATACTTGAGTGGTCTGGCTCTGCTTTAGACAATGAAATGGCATTATGGCTTGCAAATATGTGATGCTTTCTCATGCATAACTGTTCATGTTATTATTTTTATTAATGTTGGGGTGAGACACGTAAGCTGTTTCACATTTCTACATGAATCTCATGTTCAGTAGTTGCAGGGGTTTGTGGATGCAGTAAATAAGCTTCTGAAGAAGCCTGTACGGTTTCAGACCCAGGTATTTTTGACATCTGAACTGTGTTTTTAAATGCATACATATTTTGTTTTGCGATTGCCTGAGCTAGCACACCTTTTCTGGAAATGTAATATTGTTCACTTACGGCTGCATACCTTCTGATTTTTGCGAGCCATTTTCTATTTAGATGGGCCATTTGCTGAGCTTGTCCGTCAGGCCATCGCCATAATGGAGCTGTGATTTTCACTTGATGCTTGGAGCTCTGGAAATGTGATATTTTGTAATTTTAGGTTTCTCTTTTTTAGTAGTATTTTGGGTTTTTATTGTTGCATTATCTTGTATGTAAATGGCCATTATTAATTTTTGTTTTTTTATTTAATTTCTACTTAATTTTAATTTGTCAGAGTTAGGTTAGTGGTAGGCCATAATTTTATTTTTAATTTATTGTTTCTGCTTTATTAACTTGTTTTATACCCATGATGATAAGTATGGTAGATTAGTTTATTTTTTGTTATATTTTTAGCCACGTCCTAGCATTAGTTTATTGTTTGAATGTGCTAATGGCCACAATTTTTATGGTGGATTAATTTGTGCCCTTTAAATATGAGAACAATAGCTTGATGGTTCTAAAAATGGCCAAACTTTAAAAATTATTATTTGAATATCCTAATGGCAACAACTTAACATTATATAATTAGTACGGGTCTGGGGGGGGCGCCTAAAACATTAAACGAAAAGGCTATGGGGCCCAAGTTTTCGTCTTAAACGAACAACTCTCAATTGAATGGGCTTTGAGGTCTAAAATTAACTCCTTAATGGGTTAACGTGGGGCCCAAATGTGAGAAGGATGGGCCTAATGGCCAACTGGATGGCCCAAAGTATGGGTGAAATGAACGGCCCAAATGTATAGACTTAATGGACTTCCTCTGGCCCAGAACGTTAAATGAATGGGCCACGAGGCCCAAATTTACTTCCTTAGTGGACCACATTTGGCCCAAAAAGGTAAGTAAATGGGCCCTTGGCTTAAACTTTTCGCATTCATGGGCCTCCGCTGGCCCAAAAATAAACGAATGGACCATAAGGCCCAAATATATGCCCTTAATGGGCCTAAATTGGCCCAGAACGTCCAACTGATGGGCCAGAAGGCCTTTCGTTTAATGGGCCACTGGCCCAAAAGTCGAACAAATAGACCTCAGGCCCCAACTTTATCATATTATGGGCCCATTGGCCCAAAACGTCTAAAATATGGGCCAGAAGGCTCACATATATAGCTTTAATGGGCCTATGTGCACCCCGAACTTCTGCCGATTGGGCCTCTAGAACAGATTTTTGAACGGGCTATAACTTAACCCATATCATTTACGTCTAACTGATTTAGCTCAGAAACACGATGCATTTTTACACGACCCGAAACGTCAGTTTGATTGGGCCCCAAGTACCTTATATATCTACTTAGCTAACCTTTATTTGCCCACATTGTTGACCTGGTTGGCCCTTAGGGCCACCTGCAAAGTTGATGAGAATAAATTTTCTAGAGCGAGTGACCCCACCTTGGCCCCCGACTTGCCTACCAAGAAGTAAAAATAACTTTCAAGGTTTACATTATAGCTTATAAAATAAACATTTTTTTCTTAAATAACAGAAATTCGGAATCTAGTAATAGTTTCCTGAGGACATTAGAGAAAGCTTAGAAGAATAGCAGAATACTAAACAGTAAAAGGTAATTAGCGTCTGCCTAATAAAAACAGAAAAGGCAATAACAAAATCGAATATTAGTAGAATACTTCTAAAACTCGTTATAATACAATAAATCTATGACTCATTCCATCTAGAAAACCGAAGAAATAAATTAAAAATAAATCCCGAGCGTGCTTCTAACCTACTCTAGTCAATTAAACTAAATAAAAAGTAGATATAAAACCCAAAAATTAATAATGGCCAATTACAAATCCAAATGAAAATAAATAAAATAAGATAGAAAACGCATCATTTCGAATAATGAATCTTCAGCAGCACGCCCCTGAGCTCTGGCACTTAATAGGTAAGAAGGACATGAAGTGAGGAAACTACAAAGAAACCTCTTTAAGTTCTAAAGCAGCCACCATCATTAGACCAAATATTCCCTGCAACGCTCTTGAAACCATCACCCATTCACCTCAATCCTTGTACATACATTCCACAGCCTCATCTGGAGTCATATTGACTCATGCAACATCCAACCTACAATAATACCACACACTTGTTACTCTAATTTGATTTTGCCAACACAAAATCTTAGAATTATGCTTTCCCCAAAAAAGAAAAAAAAAAAAAAAGAGAGCAAAAAGTTTAGAGGAGGAAAGTTAACAAACAATTTGTTTTAGTACATACTAGAATCCCTAACAGATATCCCTAAGTTTCATTCCCTCCCAGCGTCTAGTTGTTGAAGGAAGAGAAGAACCGAGAGGAAGATACAACCATCCAACCTTCAATAATATCCATGTACTTGTTACCCTAGTTTGATTTTGCCTTACCAACATATAAATCTAAAATCTTAGAATTATCCTTCCAAAAAAACATATGTGCAAAAAGTTTGAAGGATGAAGAAAGTCAACTTGCAATTTGTTTTAGTACATACCAGACACCCCTAAATGCTCTCTTCTCTCAGGTTTCATCCCCTCCCAGCTTCTACTTGTTTAGGAAGATAAAAGCCAAAATAAGTCACAGATAAACAACAATCCTAACAGGAAGAGACAGATGATATATCAGGATTATTCAACAGTACTTTTGAGAGATATGACGTTAAAATTTGATCCTTTATCATACAAAAATTTGAAGAAATCCATAATCTATGACTAGTTTTAGTTTTGGGTTCAAGAGGAAGGTTTGCCTGAACATGTGGAATGCATGGCGCTTTGGTGATTTCTAGATGGTGATGACCTCAATAAGTCATTGCCCTCACACTCCTCATTAAATTAATGGCTTTTATATATATATATATATATATATAAATCCTGTGTCAAGTCAAGGTGGGAAACATGGAACGTGGGATAGAACTATTAAGATTCCTATTTAAGCAGCAATGCGGATTCTAAAGGCATAATTGCGTATGAGATGTTGCTGTGGCATAACCAATGTAGTCAAAGCTGAAAGGTGCCATAAATCCAAATACCTATATTAGTGACTTGTCTAACAATCATATAAAACTTAAGAAATTTGGTGATTTTAAGAAAATGGCTCTATTTGTGGAAGAAAATAAAAGCTAGAATGGATTGGTCAGCACTAGAAGATTTATCTCACATTTGAAAAGAAAATATCAAAAAGAGACTAGCTGAGTGAAACACATCAGTTTAAGAAAGCAGCAGAAACTACTAAGGTGTTGTTAAACAACCTTCCCCTCCCTCAAAAAAAGTATATTCCTTCCTTTTTATAGAAAAGGTAATCAAGCTGTACCAGAGGAAATGTATTCAGTAACAATTTACAAAATGCAAAAAAAAACCACACAAAATATAAAACCTTACCTCAAAACAATTTGCTTGACTGCTCAACTGTCATCCTCCATCAGATCATAAACATGACTGTGTTTGTCCTACAGCAATGATCCCTTCCCTTCATTTGCCTGCATTTAAACAACAATCTTCAAACCATAAATATATTGACAGGTGGACAATGATAAAATCAACGCCAAGTAGCAAAGAAATTTTGAGACTCCATTCAGATTTTCAAAAAAAATATTCAGACCAGAAAAATAAATTTAAAATATAACATCACACAGCATTAATCATCGTTTGAAACTAGTGAAAACAAGGACCTTCTGTTTACTTCCTCTATCAACAAATTATACAATGAATGACCTAATTAGAAGAAATGAGTATAGCTGTCTTGTAGCAGTAATGCAACCTCTCTAGTCTCTAGTAGGTAACAGATCAGCTATTAGTTAGCCAGTTTATTGTAAACATAATTCCAAATGTCAAGCAACTGAATTTATCAAACAGGAAGCACTGACATAAAAAATAGTAAAATTATAATTCTAGCATCTACCTAAGGTGGAGGGATAAAATTAGCAATTATATATAATTACATATAGGTTTGGTAGGAATTTTCAACAACAGAACATACAACTGAAGAGGAAACAAAGGTAAGTGAACTATTAAATTCCATGTTTTTTCTCACATTGTTCTTGGCTATCAACCAAGTAAAGAATAACCAAAAACAAAACAGGAAAATTCTTAGGAGTAAACTAAGAGGCATGAAAACAAGATTCGACATCATGAAGACAAGTGAAGGGAAACTTCATCCTTACTGCCATTTTTAATGAAATTTAACGCTAGGTTCTTATGGCATCCATTCCATTTTTCCAGTTTAACATTCTCACAGATTCACTAATAAATACGCCAACATAACAAACAACCAAACATGAAATCGATTTATAAAATTTACAGATAACAAATCATTTCATTCCCTACATTTTCTCTGAACACTAACACGCCGATAAGAAATTCATAACTCCAACAAAATCAAAACATACATAAAAGAAACAAAAATAATCGACAACAAAAATAAAAGATAGCGAGTACGCACCTAAACGTAGTCGTCAACATCGTCAATGCCCAAAAGTTACGATCCAGAACATGCCGCGGGGACCATGTCCCTCACTG